TCAAAAAACATATCATGTATCAATTCAGAATACATGAAAATATGTATATGTATATTTTCTTGGCATCACACAAGAAAATGTAAAAATTGTTTATCAAACAGTTAAGTTTAATGATTGGGTGGTTAAAAAGTAAAATAAAAATAAAAATAGGTATATATAAAGATTGGGATGTGCAGCAACAAGGTATACGTATTCCTATATATGACTCTATATGTACGAACAGTGAATATTTATGGGTATGCCTATACCCGTATATATATATATATATATATATATATATATATATATATATATATATATATATATATATATGTGTGTGTGTGTGTGTGTGTGTGTGTGTGTGTGTGTGTGTGTGTGTGTATAAGTATACGTAAGTAAGAGCAGTGGATAAAAAAAAATGTACGAGCAACGGGTATAGATATATGTATATCTTTTGTATAGGAAAACAACTCAAGATTCGTACATATACACATGATAGAGCTAGTGGGTTTTGTTGTACAAATCGTTGGAGAAAACTTGGGAAGAAGAGACATACCGGGAGAACCATCCAACAAAGGTGAACGTTGGGAGTAGATATACAAAGGGCAGAGGTTCTCCAATTTGGGGTGTTAAAAAAGTGATATACATGGGTGTTAGAAGGTTGTTGTTAACACCCTCAAATACTTATTGTTGAGGTTGAAGGAAATAAACCTCAACACTTATTAACACCTCTCATTTTTTAAAAAATTTCTCCCAAATTGTTGGGATTGGAAAATTTTTCTATTCAATATCAAGAACAGAATTACAATAGGAGGAGCAAACTCTCACACTCAACTATTACAAAAAATCAATCCTCACCAATACACTTCTACACTAAGTGTATTTCACTCTTCACACACTTTTCTCACTTTCTAAACTGATGACATGAACAACAATAGAACACTCTATTTATAGGACTAGTTTGGAGACAAGAGGAAGTTGCTTCCAAGCTTCCATTCACATGACAAGGGAGTTTCCTAGCCATTTTCTCCATATCTTCTCCCATGTTCATATGTTGGAGACCTCCTTCCAAGAAGGTGATAGGTGCCTCTTGGCAACTTCCATGAAAGAAGGTGGAAGTTCTCTACAAATCTCCCCCTCCACCTTTTTCTTTATTTCTCTCGTTCCTGCAATGCTCGATGGCCCCCCATCGCTGGCAATAAGTATCCATTCGGATGTGAAGTATTTTTTATGTGGAACTATGCCTCACATAGAACGTCGAACATGAGTACCTTCAACTTCGTCTTCAGATGAAGGCTCCCCCTGCTGAGGAATATCATCACTGTGATCATCATCATTACCTACTGAACCATCATGCATCTCCTCGTTGTTGAGAGGAATATTTGATGATACAGGGACTTCGTTTCTGGAGTTTGTTGTTTGTGGATTATTGGAGCACACTCACGAAACTCGTTTTCATGAAATACAACATCTCTGCTTCGTATAACTTTCTTCACTTCGGGATCCCACAACCGGTATCCAAATTCTTCATCTCCATAACTGATGAAGATGCATGGGTTTGACTTGAGATCAAGCTTCTGTCTCAACTCCTTGGACACATGTGCAAATGCCTTGCACCCGAACACTTTCAAGTGAGAGTAAGAAATATCTCTTCCAGACCATTTGTTCTCTAGATCTTCAAAGTTTAAAGGAACAGAAGGTGATCTGTTTATAAGATAACAAGTTGTCAGCACAGCTTCACCCCAGAATGGCTTAGGTAGTTTAGCCATACTCAACATGCAACAAACTTTCTCCACAATGGTTCTGTTCATTCTTTCAGCTACACCATTGTGTTGTGGAGTTCGTGGAATCGTCTTCTCATGTTTCATTCCATATGCGGCACAATAGGCTAAGAATTCCTGGGAAATGTACTCTCCTCCATTGTCTGAACGTAGACACTTCAACTTCTTCCATGTTTCTGTTTCTACCATGGCATGAAATAGTTTGAAACGATCAAACACTTGATCCTTACTCTTTAGACAGTAAGCCCATACCTTTCGTGATGCATCATCAATGGAAGTCACAAAATATCTGCTTCCTCCAAGTGATTCCTCTTCAATGGGTCCACATACATCAGAGTGGACAAGACTGAGTAACTCTGAATGGTTCTTCCTCGTAGAACTGAAGGAAACTCTGTGTTGTTTCCCTTATAGACAGTGCGCATGGATCTAGGGAAACACCTTTGCCTATGGAAATGACTTCCTTCTTTACAAGAGTTGTCAATCCCTTCACGCTTAAGTGGCCCAACCTCCGGTGCCACAAGTTTGGTGATGTCTCTTCTTCAACAGCATTGAGACTTGGATGACACAACTTCGCATGAGTTTTATAAAGAGTATCACAAATATGTCCACTTGCAACAATCAGGGAACCTTTAAATAACTTCCACGTACCTTGTTTGAATCGGTTAAGATATCCTTGCTGATCTAGAGCTACCCCGTATATAAGATTCAATCTAAGATCCGGAACGTGTCGAACATCTTTCAACACAAGTGCGCATCAGACATTGGTTTTTATTTGCACATCACCAATGCCAACAATTTTCGAGAAACTAGTGTTTCCCGTCTTCACAGCTCCAAAGTCTCTAGACTTATAAGATGTGAATAAGTTTTGGTGTGGAGTGGCGTGAAATGATGCGGATGTATCAACCACCCGCTCAACATCATGAGTACCTACGTGTAAACATTCTTGTTCACCATGTGTAACAAGTAACACGTCTGATGACAAACTAATCATGATCGCACCATTTTCTTGGCTAGTATTTTGACTCGTCTGTGGCTGCTCTCGTAGAAACTTTCTACAATCTCTTTTTCTATACCTCTCTCTTGTGATCTGCCGCGAACTTGAGAATTTCCTCTACTTTGACCTTGGACTCTACCTCGACCTCTACTTCTTCCTCCATTTCTGCCTCCCCCTCGTCTGTTAGTTTCTGATATGAGAGCATATGATTGTTCCGTCCCGACTTCCTTCCTTTGGGCTTCTTCATTCTTTAGGGCATCTGTGACCATCTGCATAGTCACCTTCCCATTAGCAGCAAAATTACTGAGAGTGACAACAAGAGTCTCCCAGCTGTCAGGTAGAGAGCTCAAGAGTAGTATCGCCTGCTCTTCATCTTTGAGAACCCATCCGGTGGTGCTCAATTGATTCATGAGATCCTAGAATTGACTGGTGTGTTCAGACACCGAAATACCACCTCGTAATTTGTGATTTACTAATCACCTCATTAGTAACGTCTTATTTCGGGCGGTTTTTTCTTGATACATGCTACCAAGCTACTCCCATAGTGTGTAAGCACTATGTTCTTAAACAACACGGTGAAACACACTATGATCGATCCACTGTCGAATTTGTGCGACAATTTTCCGATTCATTTTTGTCCATTCTTCATCTGTCTTTTTATCCGGTTTGACGCCATTATTATCAAGAGGATCAACTAAATCCCTCAAATTTAGCAAATCCTCCATCCGAGGCTTCCACATATTGTAATTTGTGGAAGTGAGCGCAATCATGGTGTCCGATGATGATTTATCCATAATAAAACGCTCAATATATCGCATACCTTATTTTCGAAGCCGAATTTGAAAAAACCAAGCTCACCGTTGAATCCGGAATGGTCGGAAAAGGTAGGATCCAGTCTGACCTCGTCCAAAACCGGCCTGGAAGGCGTTGAACCGGGCTCCACAAATATGAACTGGTTCGGTCCGGTTCAGGCAGCAACCCAATGTGCAGACCAGCAGGCGGATGACGTGGCAGAAGCTGGCTCTGCGTTGGTGTTGAAGTGGCGCCATGTGCCGGATGATGTGGCGCTGACGTGGTCCAACGTGGCGGCTGACCAGCATCGCGTGGCGTTGACGTGGTCTGACGTGGCGCTGGCCTGGAGATGACGTGGTGGCTGACTGGTCGTCTTCTTCCTCTGGCTGGTGCGTATAGTGCGTGGCCGAGAGTGATCTCACTCTCCGGCGATCGGCGGCGGGTACGGATGCTTCCGGTGGCCAAAAAATTCCCCAAAAATACCAGTTTTCTCCTTTTGACGAGACGAATCCAACGGCATGATCAGATTGTGATTCTGAGCAATTTCAAAAATCATGATTTTCTAACCTGTAGAATGTTTTCTGAAAAATGAGAAAAAGTGTATGGAAACTCAACCTCGCTCTGATATCACTTGTTGGGATTGGAAAATTGTTCTATTCAATATCAAGAACAGAATTATAATAGGAGGAACAAACAATCACACTCAACTATTACAAAAAATCAATCCTCACCAATACACTTCTACACTAAGTGTATTTCACTCTTCACAAACTTTTCTCACTTTCTAAACTGTGATGATATGAACAACAATAGGAAGTTGCATCCAAGATTCCATTCACATGGCAAGAGAGTTTCCTTGCCATCTTCTCCATATGTTCTCCGATGTTCATATGTTGAAGACCTCCTTCCAAGAAGGTGATAGGGTGCCTCTTGGAACTTTCAAGAAAGAAGGTGGAAGATCTCTACACAAACAAGTGTTAAACTAAACACTCTAACATTTCCATTACAAACACTCGCTAACACTAAATCCAAACACGCCGTAAGATTATGTTTGGGAAAATGAGTTGAAGCTGAAGTCTGGTCTGATTTAGCGATTATTGTCAGAAACCGGATAGAAGTTATAATAAACTAAAAATCTAAAATGTTAGTCGAATGATGTAGACTTGTTTGATTTCATAGAGAAATATTGATTGAAAATATAAAGTTATCATAAAAACAAATCTTTCAATATAAACAAGATAAAATTTGAATAGCAAGAAAGTGAAGTTGACATAAACTTGAGGCAAATTGAAGAGATGAACCCAAACACTATAATTAGTAACATTTTTAATTAGTTGATTAATTTTAGATCTAGTCAAGTTAAGCATTTCATCCATGCAAGGTACATGCCAATTAATTGTCTACACCTATTAAATTGAAGCTCATTTTCAGCTGACATGTTCATCCAAAATAGCCTAAATATAGCTTTTTCACAAAGTCACACTGCCAAAGTTAATCTAAAAAGCCAAAAGTAGATGATAGGCTGTTTACATAGTCATCCCCTATCAACGATGCTTCCATAGCAACTATAGTCTCTACAGTCTACTAGTACTTTTGGTGGCTTTTCCCCAACGACATCATGTTTTGCCCCCATGGTTAAAATGCAGACAATGAAAGACTAAAACTACCACAAATGTAGTAGAATGACCATTCATGGATGGTATTATATTACAGTATCTGATAATTGGAAAATCCATTTTAATTACTCGTATTATATATTTTGTTAAGTTGTTATAAAACATAAAGAGCGGTCATTGAAAATTCTCCTTCTTGATTCAGTTAACTATTGCTGATGCCTTTTGTTTGTTTACCCACCTGTCTTTGTGTGGATACAGGTTTCATCACATTGATGGATCATTGGTTTAGCAGGTTGCCTGAGTCCTCTGCAAATGAATCCGGGTTGGAGAATGAGATCAATCTTTCTACCTTACAAGAATCACGAGACTATCCAGACCGCCATAAGGATGCCTCGTTGGTCGCACATGCTCCTACTTTGGACTCCCAACATGATCACTACTCTGATCCCAAACTCAAGTACATTAGCCAGATGCTACTGGAGGATAGTAATATCGATGAGAATAATAATACCAGCTTGTATATTGATCCTATTTCCCTTAGAGCTGCTGAGCATTTCTTTTATGACGCCCTCCATCAAAACCCGTCATCACCTAATCAAGAACCTCCTTTTGTTAACAATAAATCTGGATGCCGGGACAGCACATTTAGGAGCTCTAGTAGTTGTAACACCGGACTATCCAAATCATATGTGGAGAGGTCAAATGGTTCTTCATTTAGGTTGAATAGTATTATGAATACCCAAATGGACTCTTTCAACACTGTTAAGTTGGGTCCAAATGTGTATAGTGATACTGAGTCCGCCTTGCAGTGTAAGAGAGGTATGGAGGAAGCAAGTAGATTTCTTCCTCCCGAATATCAGCTGCTTCTCAGTACAGATAAGGGGCATTCAGCCGATACCTCTAGAGGAAAGAAGCATCAACATTCTGGTGATGTCGGGTTACAGGAAGAAAGGCGCACTAGGCAGTCTGCAATTTCTGAGGAGGAGGAGGTTGAGTTAGCAGAGGTGTTTGATAAGGTTTTGCTGTTTAGCAATAACAAGGATCATCCATCTGTATGTGGAAAGGGCACCCAACAGAAAGGACGATGTCGTGGGAAGGGTTATGCAAAGAAATTAGGAGAGACTTGTGAAAATGTGGATCTACCGTCTCTTTTAATCAGCTGTGCACAATCTATTGCTGATGTTGAACATATGATTGCGAAAGAAAAGCTAATGAAGATTAGGATGTACTCTTCGCCAACCGGTGATGCAAATCAAAGGCTGGGTCATGCATTTGCAAATGCTCTTGAGGCACGGTTGGCTGGAACTGGGCCACAACTATATGCGCTATCTTCAACTATATCAGCTTCTAAAATCATAACAGCCTATCGCACCTGCTTCAAATCTTGGCCGTTCATGAGCACATCGTTTTCCCTTGCAAATACAATGATTTATGAAGTTGCATCGGAAAGTAATTTGCTTCACATTATAGATTTTGGTATTATTTATAGTTTCCAGTGGCCCATCCTTATCCAGAAACTATCACAAAGACCTGGGGGACCTCCTAAACTTCGAATAACCGCAATTGAGCTTCCTCAACCTGGTTTTCGTCCAGAAGAAATGGTACAAACGACCGGTTGTCTTTTGACAAAATGTTGTGAACGTTTTGGTGTATCATTTGAGTACAATGCCATAACAACTCAAAATTGGGAGACACTTAAACTTGAGGATTTAAAGCTTGTGACTAGTGAGATTGTTGCTATTAGCTGTGCTTATCGATTCGAAAACCTACTTGATGACACAGTAGTTGCTGCAGATACCCAGGTTTTTCCTAAGGATGCAGTTCTAAACTTAATCCGTGAAATGAATCCTAAAGTATATGTGCATACATTGCTAAGTGGATCACACAACTCTGCTTTCTTTATAAATCGGTTCCGAGAAGCTCTCTTCTTCTACATTACACTCTTTGATATGTGTGATTGTACAATACCTCGCGATGATCCTGACAGGTTGGGTTTTGAAGAAGCCAGGGGATGTGACATAATGAGTATCGTAGCATGTGAAGGCAGGGAAAGATTATATAGGCCTGAAACATACAAGCAGTGGCATTTGCGTTATTTGAGAGCTGGGTTAAAGCCCATGCCCATAAGACCCGAGCTTGCGAAGGAGCTGAGAGACAAGGCAGAGGCCGGATTTCCCAAGAAGTTTCTGTTTTTAGAAGACGATCATTGGATACTGCAGGGGTGGAAAGGTAGAGTTTTTAGTGCTAGCTCTTGCTGGACATCTGCATAATAAGAAACTAAGAAGATATAATAGCATTGAAGCTGTTGGAAGGTAGCACATTTGCATTTTTTGTTTCTTGTTGGAACCTTTCCTGACTCTGTCGTTGACAAAAACCTTGGCATCTCTGGTTTACACTTGAGACCTATACAAACTTGATTTGCCAAAAACGAGGTTGTTGATATAACTCCACAACTATTTTCCGTTCTTTCCTTTCTCTCTCTTCTGAGATTTTCATTAGTTGTTTGTAAACCAAAAGTAGTATACGTCATATTCGTGATTACTCTACCCTGTAAATGTTTCTTGAAGCATTTATAAAACTGGATGGATTAACAAGAAGTAGTATACGTCATAGTATTTCTTGAATCATTTACGTAGTACCTAATACCATGTTAATCACAAGAAGTTTCTGATTTTAAAATTTGCGGTTTAAATCTGGTACCGTAACAATCCAAGTAAAAACATTTTAATGAAACATCCCTCAATTGTGCTTAAGGATGGCAACGGGGGTGGGACCTGCGGGGGCCCACATCATGGAGAGAAGTGGGGCGGGTGTTGGGGTGCGGCGGGTAGGGGATGGGGAAATAAGAATAAAAATACTAATAATAATGAAAATAGTAGTGGTTGGTCTATTGTCTAGTTTGAAGACTTGTGAACTGTCTAATCAGTTGTTTGAACCTCTCTCGAAAAATCTTCAAGACTCTAGTCATGTTTGTAACTTTGTTCATAATGACTAAATTTGTTGAATTTTTTAAGACTTGTAAATTATAAATTAACTTTATTTTGTCTATGTGCTTGTGCTATAACATTACAGAAAAATAGTGATTGAAAAAAATCTTTTATTTTGTTTGCAAGTAGCTACAAAGTACGGAGTATATTTTAGCTGATTTTCAATTATTTATTTCAGATATATTATTTACTTTTACTTTGACAAATATTTCCTCCCGTTGGGTATCCGTGGGTCTAGCGGGTCAGGACGGAGATGGGGAGTGAACCCCACCCCATTGGCCATTGCCATCCCCAATTGTGCTCTGTTAGAAATTTAAAATGTTGTAAAGTACTCCGTAGTATTTATTTCGGTGGAAATAGAGCGTTTCACTAGAGTGTTACTTCTTTATTGACAAATTAAAAGTATTCCTTGAAGATTGGTCTTATTTTACTTTAAAATGAAATGAATCTAAACACATAAACTCTCAAGAAAGGCTACGTTTACATTTTAGAAATTCTATGAAAACTCTTTAACGGTAATTTTTCCGTTAAACGATTAGGGGTGGGCACGGTCCGGGACGGTCCAATATTTTACCGAACCCGTACCCGTACTGTGACTATTGAAACAGTTTGATTCGCTCTTAGACCTAAACCCGTTTGATTCGTTCCATCTATAAACGGGACAGTATTATACCATATCAATTCTAAACAATGCACTTACTTCAGTTGTTTACAGTGAAATTAATGTTTAGAAACGGGAAGATTTTTCCGTTACGAACGAAAAAAGAAAGTGAGAATTTTTTTTGTTACGGAGGTAGTATTTATTTATTCAAAAATGATGTTTGTATGTACCCGTATACAAACTTTTATACCTATCATGCCTGTGCAAGATTTTTTTGTTTGTAATCTCGTTCATAGACAAAATATGTCAATGCAAATTTTGCATAGACAAAATAAGACATATTTTGTCTGTGAACCAGATTCACAGACAAAAAACCTTCACAAACATGGTAGGTATAAGGTGGGTATAAGGGTGAGTACAAGAGGAATGATTTATTGTTATTTATTTAATTATTTGTGGAATTGACGGTTCCAGTTCAAAAGTTTTGAAGAATCGAACCGGACTAATGAAAGTGCAATTCCAAACTGGAGGCACTATGCGGTTCTAGTTCAGAAACCGACGTTTCCGATTCCGATTGAACCTTAAACTACGAACAGATCTAGGTCGATTTAGTTGTGCTTGATTGAAGGTGGTTGTCTTTTACCTAATGAATAGATAATTGGTGTTTGAACAGTTGACTCTGACACCTTTCTCGTCACCCGAAATGCAATAATAATACTCTCTATTAGTTCAAAAAAAGAATAACACCACATCTCTAAGAGCCACCAGAACTGACCAGAAAGTTATCTTTCAGATGTAATTAAGTTAAGGTTTGATCGCACTATGATGAAAATAGATTACCAAATAATAATACTCTATATTAGTTCACTTACTTACCCAATGTGTCCGAGGGGTTGCTTACTTTTTTCCTATTAAGTCCTGTCTGAATTAAGATGTCTCTTTGCATTAAGACATGTATCTGGATTAAACGGTTATTTGTATATGAATATGTTTACTTTCTATAGTAAATAAATAATCTGAATTGAGCAAAATAATCAATTTAGTATTATTCTTGAATTGTAAAGCCAATAAGAAATTTCATTTATTATTATAAATCTATTTCATAATTGATTTTAAAAAATAAACAAAAACATGTCTTAATAGACGTCTTAATGAGAAAGAGTATTAAATTTTAGTTGAATGATTAAATCAACATGACTTAGGGAATGTTTGCTGCAACTTAAAAAATGTTTTTCAACTCTTGACTTAAAAAAGTTGAAAAGAGTGTTATCAAATGATAGCTTCTGCGTAAATTAATCACTTAGGCTATGTTTGGAAAATGGATGATCAACCGATTTTTGGCTTCTTTGATCAAAATTAGATGGTTCGACTCTTCAAACAGCTGATATTATTGTTTGGTAACCAGCTGCTTCATTTGGTTGGTGCTACTAAATTCATTTTTACCCTTCACTATTCTCGCTTGAATCCTTTTTTTCTTTCTATCGTTCATTTGCTTTGGGGTTCTTCGCCACTTATCATTTGTTTCTTTGTTAATCAACGTGGAGGACTTCTTAATTAAACCAATCTCACATTTTTTATTTAGGACGTGTTGGTCAACATGTTTTTACAAATAATTTCATTTCACCACTATCCTTTTAATATACTCCGTATGATTTGTTTATCATCATTGAAAGAATATTTTAAATCATTTTTAAAAAAATATCTTAAATCATCTCTATCCTTTTTAATACTACGTATATTCTTTTAATGCTTAAGAAAAAACTAAATTAAATATTAATGTCATTATATGTCTTTTTACACACAAGCAACTATTTTTAAACAACTAATTCACTAAACACTTGTTGACAACAAGCTAATGTAATCAGTTAACTAAAACAACTGACACAACCAGCTATTGCTAATTTGCTGTCATAACCAGCTAACAGCTAACAACTATCAACCGATTGCCAAACAAGGCCTTAATAGCTAAAAGCCGGAAGCAGGTGGAAAGATGCTTCAAACTACTTTTCACTTTTTCTATTAGACAAAAGCACTTATTTTACCAAGCACCGTCAACTTCTTCTTTTTCAAAATCGCTTTTTTCTCAAACACTATCAACTTTTACTGTTAAATACTTTCTGCAAAATCACTTAAAAAATCATTTTTTGAAGTAGAAGTAATCTCAAACACTCCCTTAATGACTGAACAATTAAATCAGTGTTTTGTTTAAATCTATTAATTAAATTGAAAATAAACAACTCCCAATAGATTAGAAATAGTACTCCGAATAACGTGGGCATTAACTAGTTGATTTGGCATGTGACCCATTTTTTACACGTATCTTTGTACGGAATACATTGTTAATGTTTAATTTATATATCCAATTTTTATCAAATTTAATTTTTTTTGTCACATTATAAAACATTTAATGTAGTTTCTGAATATATAAATTTTATTTACTAAAAATAATCTTATTAATGACAAAGATCGATTAATTTTATGGTCGGTTAAACTTCATAAACCGCGTGATACCTTTAAATGGAACGGAAAGAAGTACTACCTCCGTTCCCATTTTAACTTTCAAATGGGTTTGGCACAAAGTTTAAGATAGTGGATATTGTGTGGTGGAGGGTTGTGCAGAGGAGAGAGAAATGTGTAAGAAATGTTGTGAACCACAAATTCGTTACCAAAAAGGGAAAGTGAAATTTTAATTGGAACGGACGAAAAAGTAAAATTGGAATTTTATTTAAGAACAGAGGGAGTATATGATAGCCCCCGTAACAAATAGTCTGTGTAAAATATTCTTTGTTCTAAACGGAGCAAGAGAAAAAACAAATTACCCAGTCGCCTGTAACTTTCCACCCCTTAGAAAACAAATTACTAACTTTCCACCCCTTAGAAAACAAATTTCAACTCCCCAGTCGTCTGTAGATGCTTGCTTTCAGGATTTTAATTGGCAATCACGTTCTCTCAAAGTCATGAGCTATTTCATGGAAAATTCTCTCGTCTGTAGATTGTTTTACTGCTATCATACAACTCGCGCTCGTCTCCCACTTCTCAGTCTAAGGTACGTGCTCAGATCTCCAACACAAAAAATAACTAATTTCCAGGACTTGTTCATTCCATTTATATATACAGAGTATGCTTGAGTTTGAATTTGATAAGAATTCATCAGCTCGGATTCGAGCTCGAGCTTGGACGAGTTAAATAATTTGGGCTCAAACTCGAGCTCAGTTCGAGCTTCGGTCAAGTTTTTGTTAATTAATCTTTAATAGGTTTGAGCTCAAATAAGTTGCTAGAACTCGTGCTCGAATTCAAAGTAAAAATAAAATTTCTACTCTTACAAAAATTTAACAAACAGGACATATATAAGGGAAATTAAATAATTTTAAGTTAATTATTTACATTTACACTTACAAAAAAATTAATAATATAATGTTTGTACTTAATCGTTCCCACTCTTTAGTTCCTCTCGCCTTTGACATTTGTATTCCTTATTCTACTGTCAATAAATATTACAGATTATGGTTATAATAACAGTAATAATAAATATTATTATATTTATAATTATTACTATTATAATATAAACAATAAAAACTATTTAAAATGGAATAGTCCTAAAACAGGTTTCATATTCCAAATATATTATATACTATGTATATAATTAATATACATATATATGTATATATATATACACACACAAAGGCTCGCAAGCCACGAGGCTAAAATAAATAGACTTGAATTAATTGAACTTGTTAAATATTCGAGTCGAACTGAACTCGAGTCGATCTTGAATATGATCGAACTCGAGTCAAACTTGAATTTGACCGAACAAAAATTGAGTTTTTTCAGAGCGATCCACGAGCAGCTCGCGAATGGCTTGACTCATTTACACCCTAACTTGGATGTTATTATTGTTGGCATCAAACAATAAAATAAAAAAGTTGTTTATTAAACCCTAAGGCTATGTTTGTGAAAACGAGTTGAAGCTAAAGTCTATTGTCTGATTTAGTATGATTGTTGTCTAGAGCTGAATCGAAGTTGTCGAAGCCTAAATGTTAGCGGAATGAAGTAGACTTGTTTGACTTCATAGCTGAAATGTTACCCCTACTATTTTCGCCTTAAATATTGTGTCAAGATCTGATAAAGCGATCTTTTAAATACGGAGGGAGTATAAAATAGTAAGTATAAACACAAATCTAAAACACTTTTTCATGCCTAGGCTTCGCCTATTCCCATCTAGGCTTCGCCTATCCCCGCTAAATCCCGCCTAGGCTTCAAAGGCTTGAGACTTAGCCTTAACGTCTTGCCACGCCTCACGGCTGGTGGAACTATCTACACCTATTAAATTGCAGCTCATTTGGAGGTGACATGTCATCCAAAATAGCCTAAAAATAGCTTTTCGACAAATTCACGCTGCCAAAGTCAATCCAAAAAGTCAAAAATAGATGATGTTTACATAGTCATCCTCTATCTACAGCCTTAGCAATGCTTCCATAGCAACTATAGTCTGTTCTTATTATCTATTTCAAAATTTATCGGTACTTTTACGTTTGGTGGCTTTTCCTCCAAAACATCAATTTTTTCCACGGTGGTTAAAATGCAAACATGGAAGGACTAAAACCGCCACAAATGCTGTAGAATGACCATTCATGGATGTTACTATATTACAGTATTTGATAATTGGAAAATCCATTTTAATCATTGTGTATGTTGTTAACTTGTTTTACAACATAAAGAGCGGTCACTGAAAATTCTCCCTCTTTATTCAGTTAACTATTGATGATGCCTTTTGTTTGTTTACCCACCTGTCTTTATGTGGATACAGGTTTCTTCACATTGATGGTTATGGATCATTGGTTCAGCAGGTTTCCTGAGTCCTCTGCAAATGAATCTGAGTTGGAGAATGAGATCAATCTTTCTACCTTACAAGAATCACAAGACTATTCAGACCGCCATAAGGATGCCTCGTTGGTCGCACATGCTTCTACTTTGGACTCCCAACATGATCACTACTCTGATCCCACGCTCAAGTACATTAGCCAGATGCTACTGGAGGATAGTAATATCGATGAGAATAATAATACCAGCTTGTATTATGACCCTATTTCCCTTAGAGCTGCTGAAAATTTCTTTTATGACGCCCTCCATCAAAACCCTTCATCACCAAATCAAGAACCTCTTTTTGTTAACAATAAATCTGGAAGCCGGGATAGCACATTTAGGAGCTCTAGTAGTTGTAACACCGGATTATCTAAATCATATGAGGAGAGGTCAAATCGTACTTCATTTAGCTTGAATAGTATTATGAATACCCAAATGGACTCTTTGAACACTGTTAGTGATACTGAGTCCATCTTGCAGTTTAAGAGAGGTATGGAGGAAGCAAGTAGATTCCTTCCTTCCGAATATCAGTTGCTCCTCAGTAAAGATAAGGGTTCGGCTGATTCCTCTAGAGGAAAGAAGCATCAGCATTCATGTGACGCCGGGTTACAGGAAGAAAGGCGCACTAAGCAGTCTGCAGTCTACAAGGAGGAGGAGGAGGTTGAGTTAATAGAGCTGTTTGATAAAGTTTTGCTGTTTAGAAATAACGAGGATCTTCCATCTGTAGTTGGAAAGGGCACCCAACGGAAAGGACAAGGTCGTTGGAAGGGATATGCAAAGAAACAAGGAAAGACTGGTAAAAATGTGGATCTAGAGTCTCTTTTAACCAGCTGTGCACAATCTATTGCAGATGCTGAATATAGGATTGTGGAAGAAAAGCTAATGAAGATTAGGATGCACTCTTCGCCAACCGGAGATGCAAATCAAAGGCTGGGCCATGCATTTGCAAATGCTTTTGAGGCACGGTTGGCTGGAACTGGGGCGCAACTATATGCGGCACTATCTTCAAATACGACCTCCGCTTCTAGAATGATAACAGCCTATCGCACCTACCTTACATGTTGGCCGTTCTTGAAAAATTCGTTTTTCTTTGCAAATACAATGATTTATGAAGTTGCATTGGAAAGTAAATCGCTTCACATCATAGATTTTGGTATTCTTTATGGTTTCCAGTGGCCCATTCTTATCGAGAATCTATCACAAAGACCCGGTGGACCTCCTAAACTTCGAATAACCGCAATTGAGCTTCCCCAACCTGGTTTTCGTCCGGAAGAAATGGTACACAAGACTGGTAGTCTTTTGACAAAATATTGTGAACGTTTTGGTGTACCATTTGAGTACAATGCCATAACAACACAAAATTGGGAGACAGTTAAACTTGAGGACTTAAAGCTTGGGAGCAGTGAGATTGTTGCTATTAACTGTTTGTATCGATTCGAAAACCTACTTGATGAGACAGTGGGTGTTGCAGATACTCCGGATCTCCCTAAGGATACAGTTCTAAACTTAATCCGTGAAATAAATCCTAAAATTTATGTGCAATCGTTGCTGAGTGGAGCCCACAGCTCTCCTTTCTTTATAACTCGGTTCCGAGAAACTCTCTTCTTCTACACTGCAGTCTTTGATATGTGTGATGCTACATTACCCCGCGATGATCCTCACAGGTTGAGTTTTGAAGAAGCCAGGGCATGTGAAATAATGAGTATCTTAGCATGTGAAGGCATGGAAAGATTACATAGGCCTGAAACATACAAGCAGTGGCATTTGCGTAATTTGAGAGCTGGGTTAAAGCCTATTCCCATAATACCCGAGCTTGCAAATGAGCTGAAAGACAAGACAAAGGCCGGATTTCACAAGAAGTTTCTGTTTTTAGTAGACGGTCATTGGATACTGCAGGGGTGGAAAGGTAGAGTTTTTAGTGCTAGCTCTTGCTGGGCATCTGCATAATAAGAAACTAAGAAGATATAATAGCATTGAAGCTGTTCGAAGCCCATAAGTGAACGGGGCGGTTACGGGGCGGATTAGTAAAGAACCAAAACCGCGCCATTATCCATTTAAAAAAATCGGGTATTCCCCGCCCTGTACCCGTTCCCTTGTCAAACCGGTTTTCCCCGTTTTGACCGGTTCGGTTCGGTGCGGATATCCGACGGGTCAGCCGAAATTGCCATCTCTATTCGAAGGTAGCACATTTGCATTATTTGTTACTTATTGAAAACGTTTCGTACAATATTGTTATCGGTGCAACATTTTAAGGGGGTAACTTTTACTTTGAAGAATTTTAAGACCTGAGATGTCCTGCGGAAATGCTATTTGAGAACATCAATCATGGTGGTTGACTGGTTGTCTAGTTTCAGACCCATTCTCTAAAAAAGTAGCTCGAGGTTGTCATTTGATCACGTGAAAGTACATACTTTTCATGGTTGTTCTTGGCATTTTTCACATGAAACCTTTGTTGACTCTGTCATTAGCAAAAACCTTGGCATCTAGGGCTCTCTGGTTTACACTTCAGACCTATATAAACATTGATTTGCGATAAACGAGGTTGTTGATATAACTTGAAACTGTTCATGGTCTTGCTTGGGCGTGGCTTGTGTGATATAACTCCCCGCCATGTATCTTGAAATCCAACTGCTGGCTCCCAAAAACATGAATCCCACAACTTTTTTCCGTTCTCGCTTCTAAGTTTTTCATTAGGGGTGTTTGGTAATTGGTCCTTAGTTGTTGGCCTATTGTTGGCCTATTGTTTTAGCTATCTTGAAATCAAATTCTGTTGGCTGTTTTGATCGGCTGATATTATTAGCAGATATTATTAGCAGTTTGTAAAATGGTGTTTGATTAAATGGCTGTTTACGATTAGCTGCTAACTTATGAAATGACCTTAACAGACATCAACTAATTTTTTATTAATGTAATTGGTAAATCCTTATTTCTTTAATTAATAATCCATTTCTTTTCTATGAGATGGTCATTGACTGAATAACACGAGAGAGAGAGGGCTACCCCCAGTTGGAACTCCTTTTTATCTATGCTTGGACTCGGGCCGGTTCGGGCTCAGACAGGGCCTCCGGGTTATTACAGGTGGGCTTAGGACCGGCCCGGGTAGCCATCAGGTCCGATCCGGGTCCGAGTCTCTTTTTAATTTTTTTTCCTTTTCCTAATTCCCCTCCCACCCCAACCCCCAAACCACCCCAAATGGCCCAAAATACCCAGCCTAACTCGAAAAGTTAAAAAAATTGAATAAAAAAATTAAAAAGCCTGGAACCAGACCCGAACCGGCCGGGCCGGTTCGGCTTTTGGGTGACCCGAGCCCACATCGGGAACCCCCCCGGGTCGGGCCTACCCGGATCGGTCACCGGCCGGGCCACCGGGCCGGGAAGGTTCAGCACAGTACCGGTCCCGAGCCGGTTCTGGGTCGGGCCACCCAGCCCGAGTCCAAGCCTATTTTTATCCATCTCTGCACATTTCCAGCCCCAGTCTATCCCCACACCCTCTTTCTTCAACCACATAACACACTATCAAAATCAGGGACTCTTTCTCAAACAATTTCATTAATATACAAAAATCCAAGAAGCAGAGAGTACAAAAAGAAATTCAGGTGAAAGAAGAAGTATAAAGAAGTATATTGGAAAAAATTACGAGGAGAATCAGATTTGTTTTTAACTATCAGAGAAGGACACTTGCTTTTTTTTTTTGCGCTCTTCGGTGAATCTGGAAGTTAGATTTAGGTTCGCAAAATTTTATTTTGACTGAATTTTTTTCTGCAACTACGAGGAGATACGGAAAAGGTATGGGCATGATAGGAAAGATACAGAACATCCGATGATAAACGCTAGGCTAGATGGAGTTTAATATTTTGATTGTTTGATACAAAAAGTCAATTGAAAAAACTATTTCACCAAACACTTCTATTAGCTGATTGATCTGGTAAAATGTCAAATAAGCTAATAAATGACCGATAGGCTCTTAACCAAATACCCCCTATATGTTTGCAAACCCAAAGTAGTACTCCCTCTGTCCCCTTAGACTTTGTCAATTTATTTTTTATTGTTCCCAAAAAACTTTACCACTTTCCAATTAAAACAACTAATTTGTGCTTTTACACATTTCTCTCTCCTCTGCACAAATCTCAATCACACAGTTTTTACTATTCTTATTTCTCACCTACTTTGCATTTGACAAAGTCCATCGGGACGAAGGTAGTACAAGTCACACTCGTGATTAATGTTTCTTGAAGATTTTATGGTCCTTTTATATGTCTATTTAATAATGACATTTTTTTCCATTTGTGCATTTGTGCTCTTTTAAAAATTTAAAATGTAAAGGTACCATTTGGAGTTCTTTTACAAAATAATGTTTTTTTAATATAAAAGAGCGGTTTTTTATATTAAAATCGAGAAAACATACAATACAATATCTAGATAATTATGACAGATCCGATCGTCAGCCCTATGAATAGAGACATAGAATCAGCCACTTCATACAAAGCAACCTGATTTGCTAGACATAGAACGAACAATTTTAAGTCTAAAACAATCGGAATTGAAACATTGCCTATTAAACATACTCCAAAAATTCAAATATACAAACCAAACTTACTCAAAGTAAAATAAAAACAAGTACTTTTAAAGGAAAAATAAAATTGAAATAAAAGTCGAATGATGGAAAATATCAATTACATAGTAGTATTCAAGGTTAGCCCCGACTTCCTTTTTTGAAAGATCTACCGCCGTGTGGCCCATGTTGTCCCCTTCGCCATCCTCGTGCTGCTCTTCCTCCCACATTCTTCTATGCTTCTGCTCTCCTGGAACATCCACCTCCGAGTCACCTTGCTTTTGTTCTTCCCATGTGCATCTCCTTTTTTGATCTCCTGGTTCGCCTTCATCCTGCCCTGCTCCAGCGTTACTATTCCTTTTCACACCAGCCTTCAGTAGCATGTTTCCAGCGAGATGATTAAGATTCAAGGGAAAGCTTATAGTGTTGAAATACATAAACTCTTCCCTACCTCTCGTTGTTGAAGCGTCAATCCAATTATTAGAATTCCAGCCGCTATGCACCGCCGATAATACACCGCCAAACGATCTGCCCAGCCCTCTTGTATAGCAAGGTTGTCTTGTGCATGTGTGAGCGACCCACACCAGTAATACACCGCCAAATGATCTGCACAGATTAGTTCTCAATCTGGAAGTCGAACGAACATCTGACCCAAGCAATTACCAAACCAAGCAAACCCCAATATCCACACTCCTAACATCAACATCAGCCGTCGATCTGAGATGATCGGTCGTCGATCGGTGGAGACAAAGCTCGCCGAACATGAAAGTCGGCACATACCAAAACCTACTTGAGGGTACCAGACCGCCTTAGACATCTTGGATCGTTAATCAACAAATTAAAATATATGATGCATATTAAAAGTTATACCTATAATGTGTGAAATAAATTGATAATTGTATATATCAAAGTCAAAGACTCTAATTTTATGTTAGATATTTATCATTGTTGGTAATAAAAAACATCATTAGATATATAGTTTATACTACACACACATTAGTGGGTAGTTAATGCGCACACACATACTAGATAGTTGATTTTGTTGATGTATAAATGAATATACATATTTGATTATTCTTTGAATCAAATACATAACTATTTGTCTTCATATTTGAAATATATTTGAACAAAAAATATGAATTGTATTCATATTTATATTCTATATTTTCAAATTAAAATCATAATTTATGAATCCAAATCATGAATCAAATTAAAATTATTTGTTTCGTTTACAATCCTTACTCCTTATGATACTTCTAATTTATTAGAAATTAACTTGGAATGTGTATACGTAAATATATATGGACTACACTTTGAGGGCATAACCAACTTTTAAAAATTATTATAGTGTTACTACTATTATTATTAATATTATCACAATTATTAATCGAATATATTTGATTAAAATTCGAATTGAATATACTGATATTCGTATTTGTATTTGACAACAATTCGAATCAAATTTAGTATTCTTATTTGTATTTGTATTTGAATTTTTCGAATCTCGAATCGAGGATAAATTATTTGATTGGTATTATTTCAAAATACCCAAATGAGTTCTCACATTCACAGTCTTTAGCCATTTACCTTCTACTTTTGATCTGGTATTTCATTTGGGTAAAAGCGGCAGTTGGACTTTCTTAAAGGTTAAATAGACTGAAATTTCATCGAGTTCTCTCAGCTGCTTTCTTTCTGAGTATTAGATGAAGAGCTGTCTCTGTTTCGCTGTTACCTCACAAGACGCAAATTGACGCTCTTAATGAATAATCAATCCCGAAGTGCGCACAGAAATATCTGAAAAAGTTAATGGAGATTGGAAAAGGCTCACAAGTTTCTGCATCCATGTGGTATTGAACTCATTGTACATTTGAGTCCCCCCCCCCATTCACTCATGGTTTCAATTGGGTTGTTCAGTTTTTTGCTGTAAAAATCGTAATTCGAAGTTAATAAGATTTGATGTCTGATCAGTTTGACGTCTATAAGTATGTTGGATTTGAATGTGATCCCAATTACTTTCCTTTTTTCCTTTTCTGTGCCTGATCTTGCACCAGTTAAGTTTCTTTATTGGATTGGTCATTGGTGTGAGGTTCATGAATTGTTTCTTGGTTATATTTGTCAAAATGCTGTTCAAGCATGAGGAAGCAAAATCAAGTCCAGGAGAGATTGATAGATACTCCCAAAGCACAATCTAGTCAAGGATAGATGATTGATAGCAAAAAGATTGAAATAATCTTTTTATTTCAAATGATTATTGGCATAATCTTTTTATATTGGCAACAAGATCCCAAAGCTAAAAGGAAACAGATTTCCAAAACTATTACAACTACAACAACAATAGACTAATAATAATAATAATAATAATAATAATAATAGTAATAATAGTAATAATAGTAATAATAGTAATAATAATAATAATAATAATAATAATAATACTAGGAAAGACTAAAACACTAATAATAGTAGGACACAACTTATTTAATAAAACATGATCAGCACAGCTGGCCATTTCCGCCAGCCCCTTCTTGGATCCGTCTGTGGTGGTAAACTGAGCCCATGAGTGCATGTCCATAAGAAATGCACTTCTCATAGTTTTTGTCATTGTTAGTGATGATTTATTTATGCCTAAATTTAAATACCAATTTTTCTCAGCAGAATCTTATTAATATTATGGGTTGGTGATGTTGTTTACTCGTCTTCCAAATGTATGTGGATGCAGGTTTGTCTCATAGAAGGTTATGGATCACGGGTTGAGTATGCCTTGTGAATCTGTGAGCAGATTCGAGTTGGAGAACGAGATTAACTTTTCTTTACCTCTCAATGTCAGGGATGCCCATTCAACTGCCTCTGATCCTGTGATCAAGTACATTAACCAGATACTATTGGGGGACAGCATTGATGAGAATATGCACAGCATGCTCTATGATCCCGTTGTTCTTAGAACGGCAGAGAATTCCTTTTATGAAGTGCTGCATGATAAGAATGGTGCTGATACTACAAGTGAAAGCAACATTGGTAGTTTTAACACTGACCAGTGGATTGTTGACCCTGAAGAATCAAAATCATCTATGGATAGTGATCCTCCAGACTTATCTTTCCCGTCATCAAGTCGGACTAAATCAGATAGCCTTAACACGGATTCCTCCAGAAGAAAGAAGCACAACCATCCAGATGAATGTGGGTTAGAAGAAGAAGAAGAAAGGAGCAGCAAGTACTCTGCAGTTTGTAAGGTAGAGGTTGAGTTATCAGAGATGTTTGATAAGGTTTTGATCTGCACTGATAATATCATAGTTGGTGGAAAGGGCATCATTGAAGAGAAGAAGGGGAAGAGAAGCAGGAAGAGCAATTCTATGAAACATAATGCTACTTCTCAAATTATAGATCTAGAATCTCTTTTAACCAACTGTGCAAAATCTATTGCTTTTTTGGATGATAGGGCTGCAGGAGAACAACTGAAGAAGATCAGGCAACACTCGTCGCTTACTGGTAATGCAATTCAAAGGATGGCTCATGCATTTGCTAATGCTCTTGAGGCACGGCTTAATGGAACTGGCCCACAACTCTGTGCGGCCCTAGGACCATTTAAAATGACATCTTCTGATCCGTTGAAATCTCACTTCATATCTTGGCCAGTCCTGAGAATATCATATTTTGTTTGCAATACAATGATTTCCGAAATAGCGTCAAAAGGTACATCATTGCATGTCATAGACTTTGGTATTTCTTATGGTGTCCAGTGGCCCACTCTTATCCGCGATCTTTCACGAAGACCTGGTGGCCCACCTAAACTTCGAATAACTGGAGTTGAACTTCCCCAATTTGGTTTTTGTCCAGAGCAGATGGTAGAAGAGACAGGTTCCCGCTTGGTGAAGTATTGCGAGCATTTCGGTGTACCATTCGAGTACAATGCCATAACAAGAAAGAATTGGGAGACAATTACGATTGATGATTTGAAGCTTGTGAGGGGTGAGGTGGTTGCTATTAAATGCGCGTTTCGGTTGAAATCCCTAATGGATGAGACAGTTGGTGTGGACAACCCGCGGGTTGCAGTTCTAAACCTGCTCCGGGAAATAACTCCACAGATATTTGTTCAAACCGTGTTGAGTGGATCCCATGGCTGTACTTTCTTTCTTTCTCGGTTCAGAGAGGCTATGTCATTCTACTCTGCTATCTATGATATGTATGATGCCACTCTACCCCTTGATGATGACAGACTTTGTTTCGAACAACAAATCCTAGCACGCGAAATAATGAATGTCATTGGATGTGAGGGCATGGAAAGGTTAGAGAGACCTGAAACATACAAGCAGTGGGAATCGCGCAATATAAGGGCCGGGTTCAAGCCCATGCCCTTGAACACTGTGCTTTTGAAGAAGTTAAGGCAAAAGGTGAAGGAGGGATATCACAAAGATTTTGTGTTTGATGAAGACCGTCATTGGATACTGCAGGGGTGGAAAGGTCGCATTATATGTGCCACTGCTTGTTGGGTACCTGCATAAAAAACTCAAGGAGTTTTTTTCATGAATTTAGAGGCCCCGAGAAAAATATCCTCAAGTTGAGCTATTCTTGAATATCAACCAGGATGGTTCTCCTCGCTTCCGTCTTTCTCTTTAACACCAGCTTATAGAGTTATAGCCATATATTTATGTGAAAAGAACAGTATCCTTTTCGTATTCTCTAACCTGAAATTTGTTTATTAGTAATGCCAAAACATTCTCTCTTTTTTTGGCAAAATGGCCAAAACTTTCTTTTGTTTTAAAAAATGCAAAACCTTCATTAATCAAATCTTCACTCTTGAGAACTCAAATCTAACCTGTCTAATCCACATTATTAGATTTGAGATTCTCAACTGCAGTTTTGTTCCTTCTAAACCATATGCTATATATAGATGATTCAAGTGAAAACTGTTGGACACAGGTTGAGATAGCGCAGCTGAAAAATTAAGAGGCCGTTTGGTAACACTCTTTTTCGGCTTATCAGACTTATCAGCCAGCTTTTTCACCAAACACATAACTTTTGCTTCCGCGCGCTGAATTGTGTAATAAGCAGAAAAAGTAAGGCTGGAGTTACTTTTCTGGCTGTATTGGCTGAAGTTACTGTGGATGATCATTTTAGCTATTTTTACATATAATTTTTCCTTATTTTATTAATAAAATATATTTTAAAATTATTTTTTTCTTAAATCAGCAGAATTAGCCAATGCAGCTACTTCAGCCAGAACTTCATAAATTTCAGCAGAATCAGCCAAATCAGCCGATTTTCGTGGTACCAAACGGGCTCTAAGTGTTTCTACCCCTAATTCGAACATGATCTTGTACCTTTGTAACAAGAAATGTACTTGGTCTGACTTTGGGAATCTATGAAAATTATTCAGGTTGTACATGTATCTACATGCATATGTGTGCAGCGTCTGTAATCATATCTCTTCATGCAATCTGATTGTTCAAGTGCTGGATAGGGTTGTAATGGCTTCTAAAATATGACGAGGAGTTGTGAATCTTATACGGACTACTACGTAGTTTAAAATCTAATCTCTGGTTTGGGTGTTCAAATAAAGCTGCAAGTACCTATCCGCAGGAAATTGTTCGGTAAATAAGACTAAACATTACGAGTCCGTTTGATAACATTGAACTTGGTTGAATCAGTAGAGATTGTTAAAATGTGTAAAGTTCTGACTAAAGTAAGTTCCGACTAAAGTAGATGAATTGAACGATTCTGTTGAATTATGAAAAAATTAAAATAAATTTTATTAATAAAATAAAGAAAAATTATATTGCAAAATAGTTTAAATGGTCATTTACAGTAACTTCAGCAATTTAGCCAAAAATGCAACTACTGCCTTACTTATTTTGATTATTACACAATTTAGCATGTGAAATCAAAAGTTACATGTTTGTTGAAAAAGTTGGCTCATAAGACTAATAATATGAAAAATATGACCATCAATTAGGCTCTACGTTTCAAGCCCTAATTAAGGGGTGTTTGGAACTGATTCTGCTTCTGCTTCTTTTTTTAAAGCAGAAGCAGAATCAGTTTTCAGAAGTTGCTACCCCCATCTTCTAAAAAAACTGATTCTAGGAGTAAATTAGAGCACCAGAATCACTTCTTCATTTTCACCTATACACTCCAACTTCTGCTTCTGCTCCCTGAAGGAGCAGAAGCAGTTTTAAGAATTAGATCCAAACACCCCCTTAGTGTTTGATATGTGATGAAGCAAGTTTATGCAAGTATAGTGTTTGAAAAAACTCAAAAAAGTCCTCAAAGAATTAATGGAGTTTTTAAGTTTATCAAAACCTTAATTCTGAAATGAATCAAGTTTGAGAAACCAATTTGATCCTTCTCTATTCTGAAGTACTAGCCATGTTCTCTATTAGCAATAGATTATTATGCACTAGTAAGTGACTAAATATATAGAGGGATGAAGTTTTTAGTGGCATTTGGATCTTGTTTACATATAATATGTACTAGCGCCATACGAACTTCATGCCAATTGTGCCCAAATGTAGAGAAAATAAATTAGTACACTTGTTTAATTAAAATGATATATATGAATATGGATTTTTTTTTTGCATAGAATGTGTAGATTAAGAGTAATAATATGCTAGTTCAGAATTTTGAAGAATAATAAATACTACGGTATTAAATATACGGGTATGCAAAAATTTGGATTGAATCATCCAAGTCCATATTTTAAGATGAGCATATACAATATTTGTTAGTTCGTGAGTAATATTTTTTTTAAAAGTAGAAGTACAAAAACAGAACTTTGATACTTTTTAGAATCATACAGAATATTAGTTCCCATTATATTCTCGCAAATTATACCGTGGGATCGGCCCATCATGCGCATGGTGTGTCGATCCCAAAACGGTGTCGTTTTCCATTAAAAAAAATTAGGTTCGTATTTCTGTTTTCAGTTGCAGCCGACTTCTTTCTTCCGCTTCCTTCTTCCGTTTTTGTTTCTATTCACTGAGCTTACGAACCTGATTTGCCTTCAAAGGCTTCAATGGATTTCTCTCTAGATGATTCAACTGTTGTGAATTCATCGATTGAATTCGGAGATTCTATTCCTTTTATTATACATGATAACGTGATTCCTTCATCCGTTGACAATAATTTTGAATGTGATCAGCCGGTTCATATCGAGCACATTGGTAAACATTACAGTTTTTGAGTTTTGTGAATTTAATTTATCTTATTTATGCTTGCAGTATGCTGTAATATGTTTTGTTTTCTGTTTTATCTTATTGCTTGAGAATTTGGAGTGTAGTATTCATATTGGTTGAATTTTGTTGTTTTCCTTTCAGGAGAAGACGAAACTGGTTCAATGGCTTCTAAATTGTTACATCTTCTTAGTAGAGGTACTTTTCCTGTCATGTGATTCAATTTTTGTTTTGTTTATTTTTAGTTCGATGTTATGTCATTTTATTTCAATTGTATGTAACTTTTGTTTAGTTTTATGTAATTTGGTTCTTAGTTTTATGTTTGCAGTATGCTCTAATATCTTGTTTAATAATATGTAAATTACATTCAAATCTATGCAACTTCTTTTCTAATGTATGTAACTTGCGCTAAAGCTTATGTAACTTTAGTGTTTTGTTGTATGTAACTTTTGTTCTACTGTATGTAATTGAACTGTACCTTTATGTATGCAACTATTGTATGTGCCTTGAGTTAAGTTTTATGTAGCTTTATGTTTATTAAAATGTAACTTTAGTTTAAGTGTATGTAACTTATGATCAACACTATGTAACTTGTATTCAATTGTATGTATCTTCTTTACAGTGGTTTGCTTTTCATATATCACCTTTATGAATTGTCAGATACATTTGCAACTATTGACAAGGCAACCGAGAATAAATCACTTGTTGGATTGTGTGTTAAATCTGAAAAGGATGCTTATAATCTTTACAACAGTCATGCTTTTGAAAATGGATTTGGTATTCGAAGATGCAAACAGAGGTTTAGGAGTGGCAATGTAAGTTTGATTATGAAGTCTTACTGTTGTTGGAAAGAAGGGAAGAAACTACAAAAGGGCACTGAAAACAAAATGTATACGAAATTAGATTATCGTTCAGGTTGTAAAGCAAAGCTGCAGTTTTCTAGTAATGTTGATGGTGAATGGACTGTTTCAAAGCATATTACTGATCACAACCATTCTTTTTGTCCAATTGGTCAAAGACACCTTCTGAAATCACATCGAGGTGTTGATCATGAGTATCTTGAATTTATTATGTTGATGAAGGAGAGCGGGACAAAGGTTTCTGATATTCACCGTATGCTTCAAAAACAGGCAGGTGGGGTTAGTGATCTTGGATTCACCAAACGTGATGCTTATAACGTTCTAGAATCTGAAAAGAGTAAAACGTTTGATGGTAGTGATTCTAACACTTTGATTTCTATATTGAAGAAAAGGGCTGAAGTGGAATCTGGTTTTTACTTTGATTTTGAAGTAAATGAAGGTGTACTAAGTTGTTTTTTCTGGAGAGATGGCCAAATGAGATTAGATTATGAGAGATTTGGTGATTTAGTCGTGCATGATACAACTTACAGGACTAACAAATATGACATGATTTGTGGTCCGTTTGTTGGTATGAATCATCACTGTAAGAATATTATGTTTGGTTGTGGCTTTATGTTGAATGAAAAGGTGGAGTCCTTTGTTTGGTTATTCCAGAATTTTTTGAAATCTATGGGCAGTAAACACCCTATCACGTTTATGACAGACCAATCATTTTCAATGGCAGCAGCTATAAAATCAGTTTTCCCTGAGTCAAGACATCGACTATGCACTTGGCATATAGATGAGAATTCGAAAAAACACATCATGTTTCTACGAAAGAAGATAAATTTTGTTCCTCTATTTGATTATGTTGTCAAACGATGTGACACAGTTGCAGAGTTTGATTTCTACTGGTCTGAGTAAGTTATTTGTATTTTGATGTAACCTCTTACTTATTCCGTGTAACTTATTCATTGCGTTTGTGTAACATGTGTTGCTTTAGTATGTAACTTTGTGGTAGTTTTTTACTTGGTTTCAGGTTGAACAAAGTGTATGAATGCAGTGACAATAAATGGTTAAAAAGGCTCTATAGTCATAAAGAAAAGTGGTGTCCTGCATTTTCAAAGGATTATTTCTCTGGCGGCGTTCTATCCTCCCAAAGAAGTGAATCTACAAATAGATCCATATCCAGAAGACTCTCAAAAACTGCAACATTGTGTGACTTTTACAAAATGTTTGGTGATGTTGTTGATGAGTGGAGGTCAGAGGAAAATGGTCAAGATTTCAGATGTTCAGAAGGCACCGTTGAGATGGTACTGCTGCAAGATAGTATTTTGTCACATGCTAGAGATGTGTACACCCTTGAGATATTCAAACTGTTCTAGGAACAATATTTGAAGGGCATGTCACACTTTTTTAAATTAATGACAGAGAATTGTCATGATTATGTGTATCATGTTTGGTTGAACGGTGTAGATTTGATTAGGCACAACGTTACTTTTAATGGAAATGACAACACAGTGACATGCAGTTGTAAGATGTTTACAGAAGTTGACATTTTGTGTAGACACATATTGCGTATATATAACTTCCATGGTGTGAAATGTATTCCCCAAGTTTATATACTCCCCAGATGGACAAAGGCTGCTATTTTGCAACATGTTAGTCCTCCTTTTACTCAAGGAAGAGATCTTATGTGTGGGAAAATAATTGAAGATTCTGTTTGGAGAGTGCAAATGACTAGAAAATTCAATACCATATTGGGTGCAAGTGCTGGTCTACCTGAAGCTAGGCAAGTATGTGAGGAAGGGTATAAATCTATCAAACAATTTTTAGTATTCAAAAGAATGTTTCTGGTGTAGATGAATTGGGTTCTGATCCAAGGACAATACTTGATCCTCCACGTTCTCGTCCTAAAGGTCAGCGAAATACACGGAAGAGAAGCATCGTTGAAAAACAGTGCAAAATAGTCAAAGGTCGACGTTCTAAATCTCAAAACGTTGCAAATAGATCAAAAGCAGTTGCACAATCTGTTGTTCAGGTATTTTCTTATTTTTATATGTTTTTCCTCTTTAATTCACCTTTACTGAAGCAATTATTTTTCTTCTTGAATTCTAGGACACAGTCAGTTCTATGGTTCCACAAGGTTATCTTGTTCATCCAGTTGGAGGAATGACTTCTTTGATGAGTGTGTTTGGATCTCCACAAGTTTTAGATCCATACTTCATGCAATGTAATGCAGTTCACCAAATGCGGAATTAGTTTTAGTGAAATAAGTTTTTCAGAGACATGTTATACGTTTGTTTTTGTTTTACTGTAGAAGTTGGTGACATTAAATATTTAATTGTTGCTGGTTACATTTCTGGTCAAATGAGTTACATTTGTTTTAATGGCATTGACATCACCTTTACTGTTTGTTAACATTGTGTTATCCTTTGGTTACATTTCTGGTTATGTCAGTTACATTTGTTTTTATGGCATTTACATTACTTTTACTGTTTGTTAACATTGTGTTATCCTTTGTTTACTATTATGCTTAAACTCAAATTTATTAACACATTAAGAGATTAAGAGAATTTAAATCTGAAGTTAACAACAAGTTCTTTTCAAATTACGTCTGAATTCAGCAGCAATTACATCTCAAATAAACCGCAGTTACAGATCAAATTAAGAACAATTACATCTCAGTAAACAAAAGTTACATAACCAGAAGTTAACATCAATTACATCTAAAAAAACAGAAGTTACATCTCAACTTAATAACAATTACATCTTTCATTAACAACATTTGCATGATTTTTTTTGAAAAACACAGTGAACATTATTTCATAAATGATTTGAATGATTAAATAAAAAAATTAAATTTTATAAATATACTTCAACAATTCCTAAAGTCCGTTCTTTGTGATTCAGTTCTATCTGTGAAAATAATTTACATAAGTCATCACGCGAGTTACATAGTTGTTATACACTTTTTGCATAAGGTATAACCGAAGTTACATCTTACATAATCACTTGAATAAAGCACTCTGGAGTCTTTATAGTAGTTTTGAGTAACGTACTAAGACACATAATTCACATACTTCATAACATACATAACATACACAATTTTAATAAGCCAAAGTGACATAGATCATACATGAAAGTTGCATAATGTACTACACTAATAACAAACCAGAAATCTTGAAATGTTTTAATAGAACTTCATAATCTAATGGAAATATATATTCTTCCACCTTCCACCAATATTATCAAATAATGTTTTGAGATACCCATAATATTCTGCCACCTTCCACCTGCCACCTTAAAAACGAATGTACTTTTAAAAAAATAGACCACTTTACATATTTATGATGTCTTTTGCTCTTTTATAAACATTTTCCCTTTCCATGTTGAATTTTGAGCTAATGATTTCTGCTGCATAGACAAGTCTGGGCTTCTTCAGTGTTTGTTTCTGAGCTTTTATTCCAGCAGCTTTAGATGCACTTGGGAATCCTGAATCCCACTTGTCTCCCTGTCCACGATATGTTTCCAAGTGACGCATTACAAAAATGCCACAATCAACATAATTCCCATTGTACCTCCATGGCATATTCAAGATTCTAGGGTTCCATGTGGCCATTCTTCCAGCTGGATGTTTAACCTTGTTGCAATACTTTTTAAATCCTTCCACCTATTTTCAGGATATGCATTAGCACACTAATACATTTACAAAATAATAAATTTAACAATGCTTGATATTTCTGTAATACATGAACATAAGTTTACCAGTTGGTTAAAGCTCTCCTCATACTTGTCTTTAAACTCCATCCCGTCTTCAAGAATTCTATTGTCTATGACATCAACTACATTCTTGTTTGTATATAGAAGCAATATATATAGTAGTGCTGACTTCTGTGTACAGGAAACAAGACCTGCAATTCATAAAAAGCATTCATTAGTTAATTATTTCATAGTGAATCATTTCATTTATCTTTTTCAGTAATAATAACATTTTACCATATCATAATCTTTGAGATTTCCTTGTTTATCAACTTCAAATTCCAACCTCTCTACCATCATGTCTTCTTTGTTTGCATATAACACTGCAAATTGTGCCTGTTTATTATCAACCATGGAAATGAATCAGAATAATGAATATTTTTCTATTTATTCAATGAATAAGAAAAATGATACGTACATAGACCAATGTAGAAAGTATCCGTGCTCGTTTGGGATGATTGTTTTTGTGTTCTCTGTCATTCAGTAATTTTACCCAAGCATCTATTACTGAATTGTCAACTTCTTTTTCATCTTCAAGTGTTTGGAACTCCTCATGATTCAAAAACAGGCTTGAGTCGTCATTATACAGCAATTCACTAAGACAATAACACTGGTTAGTAAACAATTGATTGAATAGCAGGTTCTTTTCAAATTACATCTGAATTCAACAACAATTACATCTCAAATAAACCGCAGTTACATATCAAATTAACAGCATTTACATTTCAATAAACAAAAGTTACATATCAGGTTAACATCAATTACATCTCAAATAACAGAAGTTACATCTCAACTTAATAACAATTACATCTTTCATTAACAGCATTTGCATGTTTTTTTTTAAAAAACACAGTGAACATTATTTCGTAAATGATTTCTATGATTAAATAAAAAAGTTAAATTTTATAAATACATTTCAACAATTTCTAAAGCCTGTTCTATCTTTGAAAACAATTTACATAAGTCATCACACGAGTTACATAGTTGTTATACACTTTTTGCATAAAGTATAACCGAAGTTACATCTTGCATAATCACTTGAATAATGATATATATAATAAAGAACATCTTACTTTCCAACTTCCTTTGAAAATGCATAGTCAATCACCATTTTTTCTTCCTTCCTCATCTCCTTGCACAGCCTGTGGTTGTGTTTGAGATATGGTGACCTGAATTTCCATTCTGTATCAGCTGCCTTAGATGCATTTTTCAGCTTCTGCCTTTTGCCACAGGTGCTGTCATCTTCACTTCTTCTTCTACATTTTCCTGCTCTTCAATTACAACATCCTCTTGATTTCTATATTCTGCTTCCTTCACTCCTCCTTCAACTATCTCAACCATTTCTTCTTTGTTGTTTTCTTCTTCTAAGTTTCTAGCAATCTTCATTATTGGGTCTTCAGTCATTTGAGCAACTGGATTCTCATTTGTTGAATTTTTTTCATTTTGAGAAGGTTGTGTCATGCTGAACTCAATGCCCAGATCAAATGAAGGCATTGAGAACTTCAGATAAGCAACTTTTTCTAATCTATCTAGGGCTTCCATTACCACTGGTATATTGAAAAAATCATCGTCCTCATCAAGAGTACACTTTTCTGCC